GAGGCAGTCATTAAGGCCACCTGGCAGGGGGTCTGCATGAGGAATTTGAGGTGTGAATGGTCATTAACATATCTTTTGTTTCCAAGGGTGGGAGAGGTCTGAGGTGTGAATTGGTCATTACAATGTGTGACAAGCTTGGTAGGAACAGCCTGTGTTCAGTGTTTTGTCCAGTTGAGTACCTTGAAAACGCTTTGCATGCATTTTTCATGATCAAAAAAGGCTCTGGACAGCATTGGCAACTGGAAGAGTTAAAAAAAAGTTTCAAATGCAAACACTTATAAACCCAATTTGCTGCATTTAGCCGCGTTTACAAGCGTTTTGCATTTGAAACACTGATAAAATCGACTGCTAAACGCAAGTTTTCTGCGTTCAAAAAAACAAATGCAAACTCAAATGCCTGTAAATGAAGATGTGTACATGGACCCATAGGAAAACATTAGGGTGAGTTCAGGGGCTGCTGAAAAAAACGCTGAACAGCTCCTAAACGTGAGTTTATCAGCTGCAGTGTACATGAGCCCTAAGGGCCTATTCCCACCAGTAGCTGGGCTAGGACACAGCTGCTGGTGTGCCTTATAATGACAGCGGTGCTGATGCGCCCATTGAGGTGCATCAAACTTTTTAGTTATTTATTTTTTATGAACTTTATTGAGCTGTCAAAAGTGTACTTTTGTTTAGTGGATTGTCGCGCACTGTGCTGTGCTAAAAAAAAATACTGCTTGCTGTACTTTTTGTAGGGCCACGTGGTGTGAACTGGCTAGGTATTGTCTTGTCTCAATGGGATTGCTGCCCAACACAGTCTTACAGCAACTGGTATGAACAGGCACTTAGGGGTCGAGTTTGGGAGGAGCACTAAAAGATACATATTTCTAAACTATTGCACTTATTTATATAGCAATGCAACTGAAGCACTTTAGAAAGTACATAATCCCCCACATCGGTCTGTGTACTCCAAAGAGTCTTGCAAACTGAATCACAAACCACCATCATATAAAATCACACCCACCCTGGAGCTAATGTATATGAAAGCTAAATAACCTATAAGTGCCATTTTAGATTGTAGAAATATTCCAGCATATATGGAGAGAATGGAAACATTCCATACAAAAAGTGGAAAATAAACCCAGGACTCCAGTGCTGCAAGATGAATGCTAATTACCAAGTCATCCCCAACTGGCGTGACACTGAGTACCAGGCAATGGTGATGACCTGTCTTTCTTCTGGCTCACCTTCAGATGATAAAACCCTCAGGATTGAGCAACTAAAGACTGTTTTGTTTATTTTAGGTAGTTACTGCTGTACTTTGTACATACAGAGACAATGATAACTACAATTCATTACAATGATAATCCAGAACAATGATAAGTGACAATGATAAGTCACCAAATCACTCAGCAATGAAAGACGTCTCCATGATATATTCAGGTTAAAGCTGAACTCCAGGCAGATATAAAAACCCACAAATGAACGCAGATCTGTAGGCAGTAATATTATTAAGTGTTCTTGCAAGACCACTTACTGTTATCTCACATATATATTCTTATTCTAGCCAAATTTACCACCCTAACTCCTCCCACAGTTTTTACACTACATAGACAGTAATATACCGGAACGTGGGGATTGTTCCCAATTGGTGTGCTGTTACTTTGTGGAACGTTTCGCCGAATGGTTCAAAAAATATCACAGTTTTTGTGGTGAAATTTTCCCATAGGAATGAATGGAAGAATGACCTAAACTACAGTGGGAGCTGACAAAAGCTACAGTGTGAGATGAGAAATCACAACATGATTTCTAAACTGGCATCACTCCCTCATTTTCAAGCCCACCTACACAAATCTTATATAAAAGCGTTCAGCTATCCCTGCTGCCACTAAAAATGTTCACGGCTAAGCCATAGTCCTGATAGTTTTTACAATATGACCATTTGTTTGCAACTCACGCAGCCCATTGACATTCATTGAAACTCCACTCTAGCCACCTCAAATTTGAAGGGCAATTTCTAAACTGCGACTGTGCCTTCATTGTTAATATTTCAGAGACATACTATGCATCAAAATGTAGGTCTGGGTCTTGTGATTTTCACAATATAAAGCTCTTCGCTGGAGGATTTATACTTTTAAGTGAGCAAGTTGGAGCAGTTTGTTTATAAAAGTTCCTCTCAGCTTGCACTAGAGTGAGTTGTCATAGCAACCCAGCTGTGTCAGCAGCCAGCAGAGTGACAAAAGCTAGAGTGATAACACAAAAATGAGCAAAAACACAAACTTAAATCAATACGCATGTGCATAAAAAATGCACATACATATATTACATCACACGTGCAAATATGTGAAGTGAAATATGTCTAAATAATACACGCAAACTCAAAGTCCAATAATGGAATATTAAAGGTGAAAAAAAGTCCAATAATGGAAAAAGGTGAAAAAAATATTTTGGTAAACTGTGTTTCCAATATGCTGTAAAGTGACCACAGGTGAAAACAAAACGTGCAGGTATCTGGGTGTAGATAGAGCTTGTGAATCCAACCACCTTCTGGACTAGCCTCTCACCTCATCACTTCGACCCTTGCGGGTCAAAGAGCAATATGGATCCCTCTCACAGATCCTCCAGGCACCAAAGCACTCCAAAACCACTTCTCAGGATATAATATTCCCACTCAGCTCTTCTCCAGGTATAGATGAAATGTCACTTTCCAGAACAAAACAGAGGGATCCTCCCATAGTGTAGTATGTTTATTATACCATAGGAACATCAAAAATAAAAAATGCACTTACGTAGCAGCCAGTCCACATTAAACCCTCATGCTCTCAAATGAGGATATGTGTATGTAAGTTGGGTGTACAGCTGAGTCCACAGGTGTACCAAGATGGCCGCCACGCCGGAAATACGTCACCGCGCTACGCCGACGCGTTACGTCACAATATCACGTGACTTCATCAGGAGCGCGGTGACGTATTTCCGGCGTGGCGGCCATCTTGGTACACCTGTGGACTCAGCTGTACACCCAACTTACATACACATATCCTCATTTGAGAGCATGAGGGTTTAATGTGGACTGGCTGCTACGTAAGTGCATTTTTAATTTTTGATGTTCCTATGGTATAATAAACATACTACACTATGGGAGGATCCCTCTGTTTTGTTCTGGGAAAGTGACATTTCATCTATACCTGGAGAAGAGCTGAGTGGGAATATTATATCCTGAGAAGTGGTTTTGGAGTGCTTTGGTGCCTGGAGGATCTGTGAGAGGGATCCATATTGCTCTTTGACCCGCAAGGGTCGAAGTGATGAGGTGAGAGGCTAGTCCAGAAGGTGGTTGGATTCACAAGCTCTATCTACACCCAGATACCTGCACGTTTTGTTTTCACCTGTGGTCACTTTACAGCATATTGGAAACACAGTTTACCAAAATATTTTTTTCACCTTTTTCCATTATTGGACTTTTTTTCACCTTTAATATTCCATTATTGGACTTTGAGTTTGCGTGTATTATTTAGACATATTTCACTTCACATATTTGCACGTGTGATGTAATATATGTATGTGCATTTTTTATGCACATGCGTATTGATTTAAGTTTGTGTTTTTGCTCATTTTTGTGTTATCACCTAGCACAGTGGTTCTCAACCTTTCTAATGCCGCGACCCCTTAATACAGTTCCTCATGTTGTGGTGACCCCCAACCATAAAAATTATTTTCGTTGCTACTTCATAACTGTAATTTTGCAGTGGGAGGAGTAGTGCCACGTCACTGGTGTCAGTGGGAGGAATAGTGCCACGTCATTGGTGTCAGTGGGAGGAATAGTGCCACGTCATTGGTGTCAGTGGGAGGAATAGTGCCTCATCATTGGTGTCAGTGGGAGGAATAGTGCCCCATCACTGATGTCAATGGGAGGAATAGTGCCCCATCATTGGTGTCAGTGGTAGGAATAGTGCCCCATCAATGGTGTCAGTGGTAGGAATAGTGCCCCATCATAGGTATCAGTGGGGGGAATAGTGCCCCATCATTGGTGTCAGTGGGAGGAATAGTGCCCCATCATTGGTGTCAGTGGGAGGAATAGTGCCACGTCATTGGTGTCAGTGGGAGGAATAGTGTCCCATCACTGATGTCAATGGGAGGAATAGTGCCCCATCATTGGTATCAGTGGTAGGAATAGTGCCCCCATCATTGGTGTCAGTGGTAGGAATAGTGCCCCATCATTGGTGCCAGTGGTAGGAATAGTGCCCCATCATAGGTGTCAGTGGGGGAATAGTGCCCCATCATTGGTGTCAGTGGGGGAGGAATAGTGCCCCATCATTGGTGTCAGTGGGAGGAATAGTGCCCCATCGTTGGTGTCAGTGGGGGGAGGAATAGTGCCCCATCGTTGGTGTCAATGGGAGGAATAGTGCCCCATCATAGGTGTCAGTGGGGGGGAATAGTGCCCCATCATTGGTGTCAGTGGGGGGAATAGTGCCCCATCATTGGTGTCAGTGGGGGGAATAGTGCCCCATCATTGGTGTCAGTGGGGGGAATAGTGCCCCATCATTGGTGTCAGTGGGGGGAATAGTGCCCCATCATTGGTGTCAGTGGGAGCGGGGAATAGTGCCCCATCACTGGTGTCAGTGGGAGGAATAGTGTCCCCATCACTGGTGTCAGTGGGAGGAAAAGTGCCCCATCATTGGTGTCAGTGGGAGGAATAGTGCCCCATCACTGGTGTCAGTGGGAGGAATAGTGCCCCATCATTGGTGTCAGTGGGGGGAATACGGCCCCATTATTGGTGTCAGTGGGAGGAATAGTGCCCCATCATTGGTGTCAGTGGGAGGAATAGTGCCCCATCATTGGTATCAGTGGGAGGAATAGTGCCCCCATCATTGGTGTCAGTGGGAGGAATAGTGCCCCATCATTGGTGTCAGTGGGGGGAGGAATAGTGCCCCATCGTTGGTGTCAGTGTGGGGAGGAATAGTGCCCCATCATAGGTGTCAGTGGGGGGAATAGTGCCCCATCATTGGTGTCAGTGGGGGGAATAGTGCCCCATCATTGGTGTCAGTGGGAGGAATAGTGCCCCATCACTGGTGTCAGTGGGAGGAATAGTGTCCCATCACTGGTGTCAGTGGGAGGAAAAGTGCCCCATCATTGGTGTCAGTGGGAGGAATAGTGCCCCATCACTGGTGTCAGTGGGAGGAATAGTGCCCCATCATTGGTGTCAGTGGGGGGGAATAGTGCCCCATCATTGGTGTCAGTGGGAGGAATAGTGCCCCATCATTGGTGTCAGTGGGAGGAATAGTGCCCCATCATTGGTGTCAGTGGGAGGAATAGTGCCCCATCATTGGTGTCAGTGGGAGGAATAGTGCCCCATCGTTGGCATCAGGGGGAGCAATAGTGCCCCAACATTGGTGTCAGTGGAAGGAATAGTGCCCCATCGTTGGTATCAGTGAGAAGTATAGTGCCCCATCGTTGGTGTCAGTGGGAGGAATAGTGCCCCATCGTTGGTGTCAGTGGGGAGGAATAGTGCCCCATCGTTGGTGTCAGTGGGAGGAATAGTGCCCCATCGTTGGTGTCAGTGGGAGGAATAGTGCCCCATCGTTGGTGTCAGTGGGGGGAGGAATAGTGCCCCATCATTGGTAATAGTGACACCAATGATTGGGCACTATTCCTCCCACTGACACCACAATGATACTTACCTTGCTGACCCCTGCTCCAGCCTGAGCTCGCTCGCTCCCTCCCTCTCCCATGGTACAAACACTTACCGGTCAGATGGCTTCCTTCTCCGGCCGCTTTCCTCCTCTTCACTCGCTCGTGCTTCGCGGTGCCGCTCGGCTCCTCCTTTCCAAGCTCCACCTCCTCGCCGGTGATTGGCCGCCTGTGTGCCTCTCTTGAGCTACAGTTCCGGCGGCCAATCACCGACGAGGAAGGATTGATCCCGGGGGTGTGTCCAGATGACAGGGACGGCATGTCATCCCGCCCACACCTGGAGACGGATCAATGAGCGGTGTCTCGGTTCCTAAGGCCATCGGAAATATGTGTTTTCCGATGGTCTTAGGCGACCCCTAGGAAAGTGTCGTTCGACCCCCAAAGGGGTCGCGACCCCCAGGTTGAGAACCGCTGACCTAGCACATTTTCTATTATATTTATGATTATTGCTATTATTTTATTTGAGATATTGAATTCCACATTTACTTTAATTAGTTTGAATGTAGCGCGACATTTTATGGTTTATATTCACTTGATCATTGGTATATGATTTAATGTTAGCAGCTGTTTGGGGTTCATTTATTATTTTAATTTGTTTTAATACACATTTGGAGCGCAGGAGGGTCACACCATTAAAAGCTAGAGTGTTAGCTGCAAAATAAAAGTTCAAATGCATTTCTCTCTATCAAGCTTGCCATGTGCACTTTTTACATTTGATCAATCAATTGCTTAGTGTTGGAGGCGAGAACACTTCACACAATTTCCCCAGAAATTGGAGATTTTCTAGTTATAATAGTCATTAAAGTGGTTGTAAAGGCTCCAGGTTTCTATGCATGAAGGTAAAAAACTTCTGTGCAGCATCCCCCCTTAATACTCACCTAAGCCCCCTTTCGATCCAGCGATATGCACTGGAGTCTAACCTACCCTTTCTTCATTGGCTGAGACAGAAGCAGGAGCCATTGGCTCTCACTACTGTCAATCAGAGCCAATGAGAAGAGAGGGGGTGGGGCCAAGTCGCGGCTCCATGTGTGAATGGACACACAGCGCAGCGGCTGGGGAATGTGCATGCTCAGGTGCCTCCATAGCAAGCTACTTGCTATGGGGGCACCCGACAGAAGGGAGGGGCCAGGAGCACCAGCGGGGGACCTAAGAAGAGGAGGATCCAGGCAAAAGCACTGCACACTACAGGTAAGTGTAGACATGCTTGTTAGTTTTTTTTTAATCTTTAAGCCTTTAGAATCACTTTAACCACCTCAATACTGGGCACTTTTACCCCCTTCCTGCCCAGACCAATTTTCAGCTTTCAGTGCTCTAACACTTTGAATAATAATTACTCAGTCATGCAACACTGTACCCAAATTAAATTTTTGTCCTTTTTTTCAAACAAATAGAGCTTTATTTTGGTGGTATTTAATTGGCACTTTTATTTTTTGCACTATGAATTAAAAAAAAAAATGAAAAAGTTTGAAAAAAAAAAATTTTTTTTTTTCTATTATAAAATTTTGCAAATAAGTAATTTTTTCTACATAAATTTGGGCCAAAGTGTATACTGCTAAATTGCTTTGGTAAAAAACAATCACAATCGGTGTATATTATTCGGTCTGTGTGAAAGTTATAGAGTCTTCAAGCTATGGTACCAATCATTGAAAATTGATCACATCTGATGAAACCTGATGTACTGCTGGCCTATCTCATTTCTTGAGACACTAAGCCCTGGTTCACACTCGATGCGGCTTGGCATGCGATTTGCATGCCCTGCGACTTGTAAATTGCATGCCAAGTCTCACCCTATTGTCCGCAATTGGAGCGGTCATATCGGTGCGGTTCCTACTTGGCACCGATTTCAAAAGTAGTACATGTACTACTTTTGGCGCGATTTGCATAGACATCTGCATATCAGATGTCTTGCAAATCGCACCTAAAACCGACAGGTCCCCCCCACTTTGAGATCGTGCCACTTCACTGTAAGTCGCACGATTTCAAAGTCGGGCTTGATGTGAACAGATGGAAACAAGCCAAGACAGTACAAATTACCCCTTTTTGGAAAGTAGACATTCCATGTATTTAGTAAGACGCATGGTGAGTTTTTTGAACCTGTATTTTTTTTCCCACAAATCTTTGGAAAATTAAGAAAGTAAATAAAATTAGTTTTTTTTTCACACAATTGTTATATTAACAGGGTATTCCTCTCACACGGCATATGCATACTTGTAGCTTCACCCCAAAACACATTCTGCTGCTCCTCCTGAGTATGGGGATACCACAAATGTAAGACTTTTCCACAGCCTGGCCACATACAGAGGCCCAACATCCAAGTAGTACCTACAGGCGTTCTGGAGGCATAAATTACACCTCATTTCCTGACTGCCTATTGAAGGCCCTGGAGCACTAAGACAATGGATTTACCCACAAATATGACCCCATTTTTGAAAAAACAAAAAAAACAATGTATATTCTATGAGGTCTAATGAGTATTTTGAACATGTCATTTTTCTCAAGTTTTCGGAAAATGTGGATAGAAAATAAATTTTTTTTTTTTTACACAAAGTTGTCCATTTATAAGATATTTCTAACACATAGCCTGTACATACCAAAAATTACACCTCAAAATACATTCTTCTGCTCCTCCTGAGTATGGTACCACATATGTAAGACTTTTCCACAGCCTGGCCACATACAGAGGCCCAACATCCAAGTAGTACCTACAGGCGTTCTGCAGGCATAATTTACACATCTAATTTCCTGACAACCTATCACATTTTTTAAGGCCCTGGAGCACCAGGACAATGGAATTACCCACAAAATGACCCCATTTTGGAAGGCAAACACCCCAATGTATCTTCTATGAGGCATAATGAGTATTTTGAACATGTTATTTTCTTCCACAAGTTTTCAGGAAAATGTGGAAAGAAAATGAAAATGTATTTTTTTACACAAAGTTGTTCATTTATACGATATAAGATAAGATAAGCATGTACATACCAAACATTGCACCCCAAAATACATTCTGTCTTGTTTGATGTTCCACCAAGGTGTCCTCATGAATTGAGGAAAGGATATAGACATCTCTTTTATCTTTCCACTTTAGGGCTAGGATTTCTTCATTCTGCAAACTGGCTGTTTCCCCCCCATTTCAATTTTGTAGTGACCAGTCATTGTGGGAAGCCCTTGCGGTTGGCCCATGCTGTCCCACAGGCCACAGTTTTCTTTAACCTCCCGCCCGCCATATAAAGCAATGACGGGCGCAAGGTGGGTTCTGGGAGGAGATGACATCCTCCCACTCTATCCGCGTGAAAGGGTGCACGGCTCCGGGAGAGCGCAGCGCGGCGATCAGTGGTGTGCTGTGTCCCTTGGACACAGCGGATCACCGATCAATGGAAAGAGCCGAAGATGTCAGCTCGGTCATGTGATCGGCTGTGTCCAATCACAGCTGATTGCATGTAAATAGGGAAATACTGGTTATTTCTCTCCTTTCGAGCTCTCACGCTGACAGCTCGAGAAGAGAGGAGAGCCAGTAATCGGCATTCCACAGACAGGACATGTACACTGATCATCAGGGCACTGATGATCAGTGTGCCCTGATGATCAGTGTAGCCCCAGCAGTGCCACCTGTCAGTTCCCATCAATGCCAGCTGTCAGAGCTCATCAATGCCACCTTCCAGTGCCCATCAGTGCCACATAAATGCTACATATCAGTGCCTACCAGTGCACATCAATGCCACATATCAGTGCCCATCTGAGCTGCCTTTCAGTGTCACCTATCAGTGCCAGTCAGTGCGACCTATCAGTGCTGCCAATCAGTGCCACCTATCAGTGCCAGTCAGTGCTGCCTATCTGTGCATCAGTGCTGCTATCAGTGCACATCAGTGCCCATCAGTGTCACCTAATAGTGCCAGTCAGTGCCACCTTACAGTGCCAGTCAGTGCTGCCTATCAGTGCCATATATGAGTGCTGCCTTTCATTGCCCATCAGTGATGCCTGTCAATGCCCATCAGTGCCACCTACTAGTGCCTCCTTATCTCAGTGTCACCTATCAGTTCCCATCAGTGCAGCCTATCAGTGCCCATCACTGCAGCCTCATTAGCGCACATCAGTGAAGGAGAAAAATCACTTATTTACAAAATTGTATAACAAAAACTAAGAAAAACCTTTTTTTTCAAAATTTTCAGTTGGTTATGGTTTGTTTAGCAAAAAAAAAAAAAACCCAGAGGTGATTAAATACCACCAAAAGAAGGCTCTATCTGTTTCAAAAAAAAATGCTAAAAATTTCATATGGGTACAGTGTTGCATGGCCACGCAATTCAAAGTGTGACAGCGCTGAAAGCTGAAAATTGGCCTGGGCAGGAAGGGGGTATAAGTGCCCGGTAGGCAAGTGGTTAAATAGACATGGCAGAATAATGGGAGACTTCTGTATAAATTATCTACATACAAATGGGACCCTTTCTTGAACAGGGGGGTTTTATAAGCTGCCAAACAATTTTGCCACTTGTCCCCATATAGGTAGGGCTTCCAGGGATGTCTAGTTGGCTGTCCTTTCCCTCATAAATCTTGAAGTTGTAGGTATATCCCGTGGCCCTGTCACATGCCTTGTAGCATTTTAATCCATATTTGGCCCGTTTACTGGTGATATACTGTTTGATGCCAAACCTTCCAGTAAAGTGGACTAGGGAATCATCCACACAAATATTTTTATCGGGATGTAAACATTTCCTTGAAGGTACAGCAAAAAAAGTTGATTAGTGGCCAAATATTGAATAACTTGTCATAATCAGGAGGATTTCGAGGAGGGCACTGGGTTTTATTATTGAAATGCAAAAACCTCATTATTATCTCATAGCGTGTTCTGGGCATATGATGTATAGCTTGGGTAGATCAGTAGGCATGGACTTCATTTTTTTTTGGCAGTGCCATGTTCAGAGTAAGCCCAAGAAAAATGTTAAATTCCTCCATGGTGAGGGGTTTCCACACAAATGGGTGGGCAAATGAAAAACTGGGATTGCTGGCTATATATTGGCTGGCATACAGGTTACACTGCTCCACAATGTAATTTAGCAGATCATTAGTACAAAATAAATGAAAAAAACTAATTGGGGTATCATTTTTTGCTTGTGTCTGAGGGCCTGGCTGTGCTGTAAAAGGGGGAATAGTAGGTTCTGCCGAATTAGCAGGCAGCCAAGTGGGATATAAAAGTATGTCTGGGAGGCTAGTATGGGTTCTACCTCGTTGTGGATGGGAAACCCTGCTACTAAGTGCCTGGCCTATCATCTGATAATGCGACCCTGCTTGTACTCGCCATGGCACCAGAATTTGTAGTGCTACTGGTGGATGCCTGCCTATCTTCAGGGAGTGCTGCGCTGCTTGTACTCACCACTGCGCTACTGCTGGATGCCTGCTCCTCCTCAGATCTTCTGAACCTCTTATTTGGACTCTCTCCTCCTCAAAATCCATTGCCTACCCACTATTTCAACTGGCTCATACTCAGAATCTGAGTCTGACAAAGAGTGTTCCCCGCTACTCTCGTCCGTCATACTCAGTATCTGGAAAGCTTCCTCACTGGTGTATAATTTTTTAGACATGTTGATGTTCATTGGTCCAGATGTTTATCACTGGTACAGATGTGGGATTTACACTGGTACACCATGACAGATGTGGATCACTGGTACAGATCTGGAATTTACACTGGTACACCATGACAGATGTGGATCACTGGTACAGATGTATATGACCACTGGTACTGTGTGACAGATGTGGATCACTGGTACAGATGTATATGACCACTGGTACTGTGTGACTGATGTGGATCACAGGTACAGATGTGGATTTTACGCTGGTATGCTGACATGTGATCACAGATACATGTGGAATTTACATACACCATGACAGATGTGGATCACTGGTACAGATGTGGAATTTACACTGGTACACCATGACAGATGTGGATCACTGGTACAGATGTGGAATTTACACTGGTACACCATGACAGATGTGGATCACAGATGTGGACCATCACTGGTACAGATGTCACAGGGAATTTTACGCTGGTATGCTGTGACATGGATCACAGATACACCAGATGTGGATCACTGGTACAAATGTGGAATTTATACTGGTACACAGATGTGGATCACTGGTACAGATGTGGAATATGACACACAGATGTGGATTTTATGCTGGTACTGCTGTGACAGATGTGGATCACAGGTACAGATGTGGAATTTTACACTGGTATGCAGATGTGACATGTGGAATTTATACACACTGTCACAGATGTGGACACTGGTACAGATGTGGAATTTATACTGGTACACTGTCACAGATGTAGATCACTAGTACAGATGTGGATTTTATACTGGTATGCTGTGACAGATGTGGATCACTGGTACAGATGTGGAATTTACACTGGTACACTGACACAGATGTGGATCACTGGTACAGATGTGGATTTATACTGGTACACTGTCACAGATGTACATCACTGTACAGATGTGGATGTGGTATGCTTGACATGTGGATCACAGATACAGATGTGGAATTTACACTGGTACACCATGACAGATGTGGATCACTGGTACAGATGTGGAATTTATTGGTACACTGTAGTACACTGTGACATGACAGATGTGGATCACTGTTACAGATGTGGGTTACAATGTGGAATTTATACTGGTACACTGTCACAGATGTAGATCACTAGTACAGATGTGGATTTTACACTGGTACACCATGACAGATGTGGATCACTGGTACAGATGTGGAATTTACTCTGGTACACCATGACAGATGTGGATCACTGGTACAGATGTGTATGACCACTGGTACTGTGGGACAGATGTGGATCACTGGTGCACTGACAGCTGTGTGGGGGACACTATGGGATGATGTGTGTGTGTGTAACTCACTGCTTTACACAGATCAGCTCTGCTTCTCCTCACTAGTGGGCTCTGTGTGAAGAGAGGCAGAGCCGATCAACAGAAGGGCAGCTTTGACGACATTAGATGATGGCTGTAATTGGACAGAGCCATCATGTGATCAGAAGTACCAATCAGAGAGCCCTTCTGCCGTGCAGCATTGCGCTGTGTCCAGGGGACACAGACACACCAAGAGCATGCAGCTGCATGGCCACGTTCTGAGGAACGTTCAGGAACGTCCACTCAGAATGGCGAAGATCCCAGCTGGCTGTTTATATGCAGTGGCCAAGTGGAAAGCAGTTAAAGTGATATTGAAAGTACTTTTTATTTTTAAATAGCAAACATGTTATACTTATTGCACAGAGCAGTCCTGAAGCTCGTCTTCACGTGTCCCATGATGGCACTCCTGGCTGCTTCCCTCTGCTGAGTGACCCCAGAGCAAGCAGATTGCTGTGGGGGCACTTGTGACTGCTTGCTCCTGAACCCTGCTCTGTGTGTCCATTGAAACAAAGAGCGGGGCTTAGCCCTGGCTCTCACTCCCTTCTGACTGGCTGTAATTGACAACAGATATCTCTGAGCCAATGAGGAAGGAGTGACCCAGGAGAGCCGCTGCTCTTGTGCACATCTCTGAATTGTGATGTAGGTATTGGGGGGGCTGGGGGGGTAGGTGGACATGGAAGGTTTTTCCCCCTCATGTATAGAATGCATAAAGGTAAAAAACCATGAGCCTTTACATCCATTTAGATGTGCAGTTGGAGGGTGGCATTGTACATGCCATGGTTGCGATGCTTTGGGCCTGCGGCAAAGTTTAGCTTGCTGCTCGCCAAAAGCAACACACTCAAGCAAATGGGGAAGTGCCGCAAATGCCCCGCAACTGCATGCAATGTGCTCGGCTGCTGCACTTTATTGGCAAAAACAGAGTTAAAACAGGTTGTGAGGAGGTGTCACATCGCTTCCTTACCACCTATCAGTAGCCTCTGAAGTGCGATCTGAATGTGGATCTAAATCTACCCTAAATGTATTCTTTTTATGTACAGGAAGTGTAAGTATGGAAGGTGATCTGGTGTGTGACTCTTTCAATGTATTACACAGCAGAGCTCAGAGAAGGTAAGAGAGAAGGAACACAGAGAGCCAATCAGGTGTGTTCCAGGGCATACAGATAGGAGGAGAGAGGAGCTCATCAGTCTGCTGCTTCTCCTTTCACTGTCCAATCCAGGGGGTGGAGGGACCTATAAGTGAAAGTAAAACTGCAGTGGGGGAAGTGGAGCCCCTCCCCTCTCAGGTAATACTGTGCTGTGTAATATCTCAGCCCAGCCATGGAAGCAGGAGCTCAGTATTACCGGAAGGGGACACAGCACAATCATCCTCAGACATACCGCATTCCAGTCTATAGATTATGATGGAGACAGTTTGGTCACTCAGGAATGTACAGTAGAATGAGAAACAGGATCTCACTGGGAATAGACTATGACTGGGAATACATGGAAGAGGAGTAGAAATGTTCTGGGGAAGCAGAATATGATGACAGTGCCGAGGACTGGAGAGTAATTAGATCGATCGGTACTAGATTAATCAGATTATGCGGAATAAACTACTCTGGGTTTTATGACATCATCCCCCCTAATTCTCTACTTCCAGACCGGTTGAGGGTGACGTCACTGAGGGGGATCCTAAAGCACAGGGCAGGAGGCCGGTCTCCTCTTCGCTTCTCTGATTTGCTGCTGCATCTCTGTACCGCCTCCAGAGGGCGGAGCTTGGCTGTCATTGTGTCCGGCCCTTTAAATATTGAACAATCGGTGCGGGCGGCTCTTCCTTGTAATGTCATCCCAGTGATCGGGTTGTGTGTGCCGGGTACAGCTGCCATGTTCGATCGGGAGCGGGGGTGGAACCTATCCTTCGCCGGCTGCGGCTTTCTCGGGGTCTACCATGTCGGGGTGTCCAGCTGCCTGCAGGAGAGAGCGCCATACCTGATCACTGAGGCCACCAAGATCTATGGGGCGTCCGCCGGGGCCCTGAATGCTGCCGCCCTGGTGTGCGGGTGCTGTCTGGGTGAGTCCTATGTGGAGAGGGTGTATTGGGGGAGTCCTGTGACATACATACAGTGCCCCCTATACTGGATCTGACATACAGACAGTACCCCCTATACTGGATCTGACAGACAGTACCCCCTATACTGGATCTGACATACAGACAGTACCCCCTATACTGGATCTGACAGACAGTACCCCCTATACTGGATCTGACATACAGACAGTGTCCCCCCTATACTGGATCTGACATACAGACAGTGTCCCCCCTATACTGGATCTGACATACAGACAGTGTCCCCCCTATACTGGATCTGACATACAGACAGTGTCCCCCCTATACTGGATCTGACATACAGACAGTGTCCCCCCTATACTGGATCTGACATACAGACAGTGTCCCCCCTATACTGGATCTGACATACAGACAGTGTCCCCCCTATACTGGATCTGACATACAGACAGTGTCCCCCCTATACTGGATCTGACATACAGACAGTGTCCCCCCCTATACTGGATCTGACATACAGACAGTGTCCCCCCTATACTGGATCTGACATACAGACAGTGTCCCCCCTATACTGGATCTGACATACAGACAGTGTCCCCCCTATACTGGATCTGACATACAGACAGTGTCCCCCCTATACTGGATCTGACATACAGACAGTGTCCCCCCTATACTGGATCTGACATACAGACAGTGTCCCCCCTATACTGGATCTGACATAGCAGACAGTATTCCCCCTATACTGGATCTGACATACAGCAGACAGTATTCCCCCTATACTGGATCTGACATACAGCAGACAGTATTCCCCCTATACTGGATCTGACATACAGCAGACAGTATTCCCCCTATACTGGATCTGACATGCAGCAGACCGTATTCCCCCTATACTGGATCTGACATGCAGCAGACCAGTATTCCCCCTATACTGGATCTGACATGCAGCAGACCGTATTCCCCCTATACTGGATCTGACATACAGCAGACAGTATTCCCCCTATACTGGATCTGACATACAGCAGACAGTATTCCCCCTATACTGGATCTGACATGCAGCAGACAGTATTCCCCCTATACTGGATCTGACATACAGCAGACAGTATTCCCCCTATACTGGATCTGACATGCAGCAGACAGTATTCCCCCTATACTGGATCTGACATGCAGCAGACAGTATTCCCCCTATACTGGATCTGACATGCAGCAGACAGTATTCCCCCTATACTGGATCTGACATGCAGCAGACAGTATTCCCCCTATACTGGATCTGACATACAGCAGACAGTATTCCCCCTATACTGGATCTGACATACAGCAGGCAGTATTCCCCCTATACTGGATCTGACATACAGCAGACAGTATTCCCCCTATACTGGACCTGGCATACAGCAGGCAGTATTCCCCCTATACTAGACCTGACACACAGACAGCGCCCCCCCCCCTCCATACTGGATCTGACACACATACAGCGCCCCCCACCCCTATATTGGATCTGAACACACATACAGCGCCCCCCCCTCCCATACTACATCTGATGCACATACAACACCCCCCTATACTGGATCTGATGGACAGCAACCCCCCTACACTGGATGTGACACACCGACAGAGCCCCCCCTATACTGGATATGATAGACAGTGCCCCCCTTATACTGGATAGACAGAGTTTGTGCCCCCTCCTATATAATACATCTGCCATACAATGCCCTTCCCCCATGTAATGGTCAGTCCTTCTGTTTTGTTCAATGATCAGCCCCCCCACCCCTTTGTATAATAGACAGTACCCCCCCCCCCCACCATTTAAATGACCATAATTCTCCTGTAGAGCATGTCCTCCCTGATATAGGCAGTGTTTCCTCTTGCGGAAGTCAGTTACCCCTTCATGTATACTAGGGAGTAATTCAGTTGTATCCTGGGGTTTTATATAGACACTTCTCTTGTGTACTAGAGGCGCCATGCAGATGGGCCCCCTCCTGTATATTGGAGGTACCATACAGACAGTGCCCCCTCCTGTATACTGGAGATGCCATACAGATGGTGGTCCCTCCTATATACTAGAGGTGCCAGAATGGTGCCCCCCTCCTGTATACTAAAGAGCCATACAGACAATGCGCCCTCCGGTATACAAAAAGGTGCTATAGAGATAGTGTCCCTGGTTCTGAATACTAGGAGTGCAATACAGACCGTGCCCCTGAATACTAGAGGTGCCATGCAGTTGGTGCCCCCCTCCTGTATAATAGAGGTGCCATGCAGATGGTGCTCCCCTCCTGTATAATAGAGGTGCCATGCAGTTGGTGCCCCCCTCCTGTATAATAGAGGTGCCATGCAGGTGGTGCTCCCCTCCTGTATAATAGAGATGCCATGCAGATGGTGCTCCCCTCCTGATAATAGAGGTGCCATGCAGATGGTGCTCCCCTCCTGTATAATAGAGGTGCCATGCAGATGGTGCTCCCCTCCTGTATAATAGAGGTGCCATGCAGATGGTGCTCCCCTCCTGTATAATAGAGGTGCCATGCAGATGGTGCTCCCCTCCTGTATAATAGAGGTGCCATGCAGATGGTGCTCCCCTCCTGTATAATAGAGGTGCCATGCAGATGGTGCTCCCCTCCTGTATAATAGAGGTGCCATGCAGATGGTGCTCCCCTCCTGTATAATAGAGGTGCCATGCAGATGGTGCTCCCCTCCTGTATAATAAAGGTGCCATGCAGATAGTGTCTCCCTGTTGTATAATGGAGTGTACCCCTCTGGTAGTCCAGAGGTGCCATACAGACAGTGTCGTTCTCTTGTATCCCAGAGGTACCATAGAGATGAGCTCCCTTTTTGCATCCCAGAGGTGCCATACAGATAGGGACCCCTTCCTGGATCCTAATGGTGTCATAAAGACAGTGCATCCCTCTTGTATAATGGAGTATAACCCTCAGGTAGCTTAGAGGTGTCATACAGACAGTGCCTCTTCTATAAACTGCAGGTTACAGTATATGCCATCCAGTGTAGATTATCTGCCCCTGTGTAATAGCCATTCCTTGGCTGGATGATGGAGGATGTTCCCCCATCTGCTGACCTTCCAGGGATAATGGGATTTGGTGGCCACACCCTTATGGATTTTCTATACAAATGCATATCTGTTTAACACCCCGGTCACATCAAGTCCGACTTTGAAATCATGCGATTTACAGTGAGGTCGCATGATTTCAAAGTCGGGTGAGATGCTGATTTCAGGTGCGATTTGCAAGACATCTGACAGAGATGTCGATGCAAATCACACCAAAAGTAGTAAATGTACTCCTTTGAAATCAGTGCGGCTCCAACCAACTTGGAACTGCACCGATTTGACCACTCTAATTGCAGACAATAGGGTGTGACTTGGCATAAGATTTGCAAATCACATGCCAAGTCGCACCCAATATGACTGGGGTGTAATTTACTGAGAAAATTGTAAACCATGTGATGTAGTCATCCACCATAAGTAGCCTGCAATTTGTTGACCATACCGATAAGTTTTCCACTTGAAATCAATCAAAACTTGCCATCTTTACTTACACTATGCTGGAAATGTGGACGCTGCACCACTTTTAGAATGCATTTATGTATTTCAGGGATATTGTGTTATCGACCGAATCTTTTTTTTTTTTTTTTTTTTTTTTTTTTTTTTCTTGCTTTGACACTTTTGAGACCAGTCAGTTTTCCACCTTGGGATCCGCCTTCTGTTATAGTGGTCAGATGAATACAGAAATCTAAGGAACAATTGATGCCTCCCATAATCATCTGGGAGTGGAAACTAATTTACTTGTGTAATCTGATTTAAAACCCATTCTCGCCCATAAACTTTTCAAATTGAATACTGTCACAGAAAAAAGATTGAGACCATATAATTTCCAATGTCCCCTTCCCAACGGCTTTCATTTGTACGTAATCCTTCTCTGGGAATAAAGTCATATCCTGATTGGTTGATCAATGTCTTGTCTGGAACTTTAGCAACCATGAACTGTCATCACATCACCCACCTCCCTTCCGTGAGAACTGTATACGTTTCAGTTCTAAATCCACTGTGTGTATAAAATGTAACTGTTTCAGGTTTTATCAAAAGAAATCTCATCTGTCTGTTTATAAGTAGGGACTTGCCTATAGATCTGATCTCATCTCAGGCTGCTCATTGACTCAGTCACCAGATTCCTAGGCTATGTTCAGTACTGCTTGACTTCCTCAGGTGTGATGAATTGTGTATTATGCAGTTACACAGTACATAATAATGCTGGTTATGTTGTCATACTTGTATGGTCAGTCATGTGACTGTGTGTGCGCATATATGTGTGTGATTTACAGATCAGTGATGGACAGTAGCTGATATCAACCAATCACAACAGGATATTAACCTATAGAAATCTGTGTAATTTTCTGAGCCAAAGAAATGATCAGATGCTACTGGTTCATGATTGGACAGTATTCTTTAATTTTGTTTTATTACCCAAGGCCAAACTAAGGCTAAGTTCACACCTATGCATTTTGTGTTTGATGCGTTTCTGCAGTGCATTTTGCACATGTGTTTTTTGACAAGTTTTTGATGCTTTTTTAAAAAATTTTTTAGGCCAACTTGTTGGGCAGATTAAAAATGCGAAACACACGCAAAACACAGCACTTGATTTTATATACGGTTCTATTGAAGTCTGTTCGACTAAAAAAAAGCAAACTGCTATTATTATTATTATTATTATTATACAGTATTTATAAAGCTATAGGAGAAGAAGTCCCTGGCCCTTTCCAAAAAATGTGCCTGCAAAAACTGCTTAGATGGGAATGTGATCCATAGGAAATCATGATAAATGGCATGCACTGCATTCCTGCTATGGGAGAAGAAGTACCTGACCTTTTCCAAAAAATGTCCACGCAAAAACTGCATAGATGGGAATGTGATCCATAGGAAATCATGATAAATGGCATGCACTGCGTTCCTGCAAAATGCATAAAAAATGCACAGATGTGAACCTGGCCTAAGAGTCCAACATGGAAAGTGA